CCTTCCTCCCCCGCCTCGCATCCTGCTGCAGCCTCCGCAGGCCTAGGGCCAAGTCAAGCAGACGACGGCGAGGGCGGGGTCCAGGGCGCACTGAGATCTGCCCCTCCACCTGCCTCCCCTCTCCTCTCCTCTTCTCCGCCCTCGGAGGAGGCAGCACCGGAGGAGGGGGTCGAGTCCTTTCCCTTCCCCTCCTTTTTGGACCTCGAGTCGGCTTACCCTCTCCTCGACAACGCCCGACCGGCCGCGGACAAGCCGGGAGCCACGCCCCGCACCAGCACACCGGCCCCTAGTGTCGGCGGCGGCAACGCCAGCTCTCAAAGTCGGCGGGCGAGCAGCGTAGGCGCGAAGGCCTGAGAGGGTCGCTGCACGTTTTTGTAGGATAGGGCCGGCGTTGCAAGCGCCTGGAGACGGGCCTTCGACGCGGACAGGTCGCAGAGATGTGTGGAGAACGTCAAAGGCAGGGAGATGAGGGGCTCAAAGAAAGAACGACACGCCACAAGTCCCTGACGGTGAAGAACCCTGGTATGCTCACGTGGTCCTCTTGGCCCATTGCGTTCTCCCTGCGTGCTCCTGAAGGGCTGACCGCTCATGCCAATCATGGGTCGCGTTCGCTCCATTTGGCGCCCAATTTTGCTTCCCGAGAAACTCGCAAAGCGAGGAGCCTGAAGCGGCGACGGCCAGAGGGTCTATAGCCGGAGCCCGTGGTATTGTCAGGTCTGTCGCACGCAGCCATCCCCCCTTCCTTTGATCTTGAGGGTCGAATATCGCCATGAGGCCGAGCGAAAGGAACGAACCCAAGCATCGCCTCGTCACGACTCGAAAGAAACATTAAGCAAGACAATGAGTGCAATCATCCTCTTTCCTTTTCTTTATCCGGTTTGATCCACTCCATCCCACCGGCGCTGTGGTTGTACAGAGCGTTACACCCGCGGCCTACCCCGAAAGACACCTGGCTTCTTCCGCAGCTGTTGCGCACGTCCAGCCCATACACATCACCCTCCCTCTCGAAGCCACCGCTAAGGCTGCAACCCCTGCTTAAAACCGCAGCTTCTTGTAGAAGTAAGCCGTACCCTGTGACTTGCGCTCGGACTTGGCCGCAATCGATGCCTGGTCTAGGTAGCGCTCCTCCAGCGTCTTTCGGATCGCGCGCTTCAGCGCTTTCCTGTCGTCCGTCGGCTCCTCTGCCTTCTTCAAGTCGATGTCTACCACGTAGCGCGTGGGAAGGATGTGCGTGTAGTTGATCGCCTTCACGAAAGGCTTTACCTTCGACTTCCGCTTGATGGTCTTCTTATTCATGCTGCGGGTGACCTTGCGGGGCGCCACATCGATGCCGCAGACAATAGCGTGAGGGAAACGCTTGTCCACCGAGCCCTCGTCCAAGGCCTTTACGACCACGGCCTTCTTGCCCGCGTACCGGCCTGCCAACACCACCACGACTTTGCCGGGTTTGATGCTGAGGGCGAGGAGAGGGAAAGCGGTAAGTCGGTGTCAATGTCTAGTTGTGTCTCATTGTACCTTCACCAACATAAACTAGTGATCCGCACCCTCCTGAGTCCTGCAATGAACGCAGTTTATCCAAATGTTGCGCGAGCAACAAGACGAGCACTACGAAGGTGTTTTACAAAGTGTGATGTCCTTCCACCCGACCTCTCTGCTTACTAGTCGCACCAAAGCTACATCATTTACATTCACATGAATACACTCAAACTCGACTCCTCATCGAAAATCGAGCCTAAAATTACCTCTCCTAACCCTCTCCCCCCTCTCCCACGTCGACTCACATTCCCATATCTGCTTCGTCGAGTCTGACCCTTCCAAGTACTGGCAACGATAAGGCACGACCTGTAGGAGAGCCAATGAGTATACATATGAGTATGGATGTCAATAATTTACCAGGCAGCAAGTCCACAGCTGCATCTCGCTCGAGTAGGGAGAGAGAGAAATTGATGGTGCTTGGAGGAGGATTAGGACGGCAGCCCTGCAGGCAGGGATTTTGATCACATAATCCCCTCCACCCTCCATCCAGATACCCACACTCCCTTCGACGTATGCGTACGATCAGCTAATGATGGAAACCAGGAGTCGGTGGAAACGGGTAAGGGAACGGCTATCAAGTACCTTCTTAGTGCCTCGCTTCTTTTCTTCGCTCTGAGCCGTTCATCGCCCTCCTGGGCTTTCCAGGATCCGGGTAGCTTTTCAGTCCGAACGCGCGATCTCCACGCGAAAGAGAGGAATGTTTTCGAAAAGAAATCGTGTAGATGACATATACTAGTTTTCTGCCTATTCATAAAATCTATCTCTTAAATGTAATGTGCATCACAAATTACTGCCCAGATATGCTTTCGCTGTCCGTCCGACGTACCTTTTTTAAAGTCCACAACCTGTGTCGAGGTATGTCTAGCACAATCGGAAAACCACACCAACCCCACAAGGAGAAAAAGCTGCCTCCATTCTTGGCCGATCCAGCCACCTATCCCTTGATCGCCATCGTAGGAACGGTAAGAATATGGAACACTTCATAGGAACTTATATCCCGCCTAATTTCTATTTTGGTGTGTGTTCGCACAATTCACTCGCAGGCTGTGACGATGGCGTTCACCTTCATGGTTTATCACTCCGTGAATTCTCCAGATGTGCGACTGAGGAAACAGGAGCGTGCCCGCCTTGCACGCAAGTTGCAGCATGGCAAGCGCGTAGTAGGTTTTGACAACCCGTACGAAAAAGCTTGATATTCCCTTGAAAGACATAACAGGTTGAGGCACGATAGTAGAATGAGCCTACGAAAAAACGCATAAGATTTTAAAAGATGCGGTGTATCGTCACTTTGAAGTTTTCCATCCTGCCTTTGACGAACCATCTTCTTCAAGTGATTTATTTTTATCTGCAAACATTCAGTTCCTTTTCCAACCCGTTTTGACGTCCTTTATCATGATGTTTGCGCCTAGCCCTCCTCTAGATGTACGTTTATCACTCGGTACTACCTTTTAATACCCTTTTTCATTCCCACTCAAAATGTTTCCGCCTTTCGAGGTACTCCCCAGCTGTTCTAAGATGCCTCACGGGAGAGAAAATAAAGTGCCATGCTTTTCCCTCCTTCAACCTTCGGCTCTGTGTGCTCACTCCGTCTATTTATTTTATATCACCAAACATGAATTACCATTCCGTTCTGCCACACCCTCCCTCCGTTGTACGCATCCAACCGTCTCGTTTCCACAGCGCATGCGTCTTTTCAATCATCGACGCGGTCGTGTTCTTTTCCCCCTTTGCACAAATTCTGCCGTCACTCGTACACGCCAATCCTCAGGCTGAAACCACTTACTTGAGAATAAAGGCCTTCAAGACCGATACAGTGGCCCCGATAATCGCCAAGAGCACGCCCAGAGCCGTAATGCCCTTGTTCAGCAGCACCTCCCTCTTTACAGCCGGCGTCTCAACAACCTCCCCTGTTGCCACCTTTTGCGCCATCGTCTTGATGAAGATGATGGCAGGAAAGATGTAGATGATGCAGGAGCCCAACAAGGCCCCCCCCAGGGATACCACGAAGCCCACGTCCCGCAAAAAGACCGCGAGCGTGCTGACGACAGCCAGAAGGACCAGCGTGGTCACTGTCTGAGTCCTGGTGCTGGGCGCCTTGCGTCCCAGGAGACTCAAGACCCCGTCGCGGATGCCCACGAAGGTCAAAGGGTAGCCGAAGACGATGCTCGCCCCAATCGCCAACCGGCACATCTTCGCCAGCACGTCCTGCTCGGCGTAATTGTTAAGTATCAGCCCCTGGCTCGCCCCTCCGAAGGTCAGGTAGCCGCATCCCATGATGAAGGCAAAAGCGGCGGTACAAAAGTTGAAGGAGTTCTGCACCACTTTGTTGAGCTTGGGAATGGAGCGATTCTCCAGCTCCGTGTAAAACTTCGGGGCGTTGTAGTGCGCGATAAAGGAGGTGGAGAGCATGGAGACGAGGACGAAGACCATCGGGCTCAAGAGAGGGGAGGACGACCCTGAGAGCAGAGAGGGGCGAAGGGAAGCGGCAATGGCCTCATGGAACTGGCCCCCCGGCGCGTAGGATCCGTCCAGCAGCCTCAGTGCGATCACGGCGCCCGTGAAGACAGTGCCGAGGATGCCGAGCAGGGAGAAGGGGGCGAGGGGCGCGAAGCTCTTGAGCATGCAGAGGGGAAGGAGAACCAGGGAGGTCATCCAAACGATCACGTTCGTCCGCTGCGCCAACAAGGCGGGAAAGCCCGGCGTGGCCCCGAAGAGCGAGGAGAAGGAGTCGGCGATGATGATGCTGAAGGCCGTGCAGGCGCAGAAAGTCTTGAAGGTGCAGGCGGCGGGGACCATCCAAGCGGTTTTCTTCCCCACGGACTTCTCCCAGGCCTCCCCGTATGTTTCCACTTTGTTAAGAGCACAGACCCGTGCGATCAGCGTGAAGCAGTAAGCGGAGAGCGAGCCCATCCCCATGGTGAGGGCGACGGCGGGGACCAACGCCATAGGGTTGCTGGAAAAAGCTCCCACGCCGGAAGGGAGGGAGAGGACGCCGGCACCAAGGATGTTTTTGACTGGAGAAGGGGGAAAAGGAAGGGAGTGGGAGAGAAGGACCGGAAATTGAGCGGTCTGGCATCCTCCGAGGCTTGAAAAGATGGCTTTCTTTCATTCATTCAAGCGTCCTCAATCACGTGGCGGTCGGACCAGGAGGCGAACGGTGTGAGGAGAGCAAGTACATGGTAAAGGCGGACCCAAATTGAGTCCATCGCGCCGCCTCCCCTCTCTTCGCCGGCAAAACTTACTGAGATTGAAGGTGGCTGTCGAGACGGAGGAGCCCTTGTTTCCATCCCCGCTCTCTGTGCCTGCTGGTGGAACTTGAAAACTACCCTCAGCGGTGACGGCCGCTCCGCCTCGAATCACAGCGACGCGTCGGCGTTGGTTGAGGATAGGAGGGCGCTTGGTGTTGCTGAGGGTGTGGGACGGTACTGTGGCCAGGAAAGTGGCCGGAAAGTGGGCACGGGGACCAGAAAATGATGTGTACAGTGGAGAAGAGTGGCTAAGGGCCGCCTGCGGCAACAGCAACATCGCCGTGGCTGCTGCTGTGGCCTTCATGGTGGCAGTCTAAAGGTTGTCTGTGCTGTGTGTGTGATGGAAGTGTGATTTCGTCGTGAAAAAATGTGTTGTCGTGTAAAAAGAAGGAGAAGGAGCGGGCAATGAGGTGACGATGCCACAGTTGGTTCCTTGCATAAAAAAATGCCTTCAAAGAAACCACACGTTTTGTGTATGTCGCCCTGCCCGACCAGCGAGAGGCTGGCCCTGGGTGCAGCTCGATATTGATTATGGTCGCCGCCTCGCGATTATGAGGCGAAAGACGCTGGAGATGGTCTCGCCTCCCCCGCTTTAGCCCGAAAAGAAGGCATTTGGCCATCCAAGCTTATGTCCGGTGAGCGTGCGCACATCTTGCAGGACGAAGACACGTGTACCGTATGTATATCATCTTGTCTTTAAAGAGAAAGCCTGGTGTCCCCCACGAGGTCGGCGCATGCGGTTCACCCGACTCGCCAGTCGGTGGCGTGTTTGCATATAAAGCATGTATCCTGAGATACCCTTATGTAGCACCAGAGAGCGAGCCGGAGGGTCTATCGATTTGTCCGAGGTTTCCCCTCTCCGTGCCCGGGCCTTGACACCCCTTGCAACCGCGGGCACGCCCGCGCGGGAAAGGAGCTCTTTCTTTTTTTGTCCACGCCTCACGACGTGGTTTTTGCGGGGACGGCGCGTTCCCTTATCTTGCAACTCGTCGGTCTCCCCATCGGTGTCGCGTCGCTCGGGGGCCGAGAGAGCGTTGGAATTCTCAGCAGATTTCCTGCTGATTTTTCTTTCAAGCTCTCCGAGGCCACGCCGAGCTGATCTTGACACGCCGTGCTCAGGTTGCTCCCGGATGAGAAGGGGCTGGACGCACGTGTCGTGTGTGTATTCCAGGAAGTTTCGTCGGGTTATACTAGGCCCAGGGGGGGTTCCCCTCGCCCGACTGGCCAGCGGACAGCAAAGGGCAACACGTAGCCACGCCTGCAACGTGACCACGCCCATGCTTCGATCACGCACTGACCCAATTACACGCGCTTCATAAACACCGGACAGGTTGACCAGGGGACAGGCAGCAACTGCCTGTAAAAGGGGTGCGCTTGGCTTTACAAGTGCTTCTTCCCCCTCGGGTTCTGGGTGCCCCTGTTTGGGTGAAACGAGCGAGAGTCAACAAGTGCGAGCAATGATTTGGCTTGTCACCACTCCTGTTTAAGTCAACTCGTCTGTTAGATATCTGCTGTATGTACCTACATATCTGATCGCCACACAGCGGAAATCGAACGAGACAGTTGTCGCACGCGAGTTACGTTGGGGTGAGATCCTTGATACATTCTGTGGTACCTCATAGGGTGTGAAACCCGCGATTTGGACTACGTTTTTGAAACCTGCTGGCTTTACCGCCTCCTCTTGTGTTTCGGATACCTGTAAACTGATATCCGGTAGCGCATTGGTCGGGACGACAAGAGTCGAGTTCTGTATCTCCTGCGCTCTTCGACAATCTGCTCCCCCAAGCCCCTCTTCGCGTCTAGTCTTCTAGCCCAAGAACAAAAATATCAACAAAACCGGAAGAAATGGTCAGGTACTTAAGCGGGAACGGCGCAGTGTTCCACCACGCGCAGCTTCGTCGCAGCGTGTCCGCCTCGGATTCCCCTTCTTGCACCGCGGCCGACCAGAAGAAAGAGACTTGCCCGGGCGGGATCCTCCCTCCGCCCTTTCCCGGCCGCAGTGCCACGATTGCCAGCAACACCTCCACCTCTTCCTCTCCCTCGATCGCCACCACGGACACGGGCCTGAGCCACTTGAACCTTTCCCTCCTGGGGGGCTCCGTGTCCTCCTCGCACCTGGTGGGAGGGCAGGCCTCGCCCTACATGCGCCAGGCACGAAAGGATAGCTTGGGGAGCAGCATCAGCAGCATGGGGGGCAGCGAGGGGGGCTCTCCTCGGGTGACTCGGGCGGAGTGCGAAAACTGCGGCTACGTGTTTTTGTGCGCGTACTCCAAGGGCGGGAGCACCTACTGCTCTCTGGACTGTCGCACCACCCACAATCTGTACGGCGTGGAAGACGCCTTCAACCACATGGTCACTGGCACGTCCCTGGATGCGGCGGCCCACTCCTTCTCTGTCACGCCCCAGAGGCAGGCTGTGTATGCGCACCGACCGCCCCCTCGACAGCCTCTCCCGGGACCTCAGGGTAGCAGCGAGGCTCCGAGAGCCCGAATGGACGCAGCGCGCTCCGTGGTGCGGCAAAGCGAGAATAAACAGAATGCGGCAGCTCATGAAGACGTCAACATGGGCGCAGGCACTGGCGTGTGCCCGTCTGGGGTGGGAGGGGGGGGAGGGCCGGACGCAGACGGAAGCCGTGCACGGACGGGCCAGGCGACCGGTCAGGTGGCCCCTGCGTCCAAAGAGGCGGAAGCACCCCCCCCTCTGGAGCCTCGAGCGGAGGGCAGAGAGGGTGTCCACAGCGCGATGACGACGGCGGGTCTGCGTCGACCTCACGAAGGTCTGCCTAGTGAGGAGGAGATGGCAACGCCGGCGCTCGCCTCGGACCTCAAATGC